GTAGATCCTACTATTAGTTAAGACCTACTATCAATTCCACAGTAATGATCCATCACGTCACAAGATAAGATAACTAAATTAGGTACAAAATATATATATATATATTTCTTGTAAAATGTTCTTGTGTGAGATTAATGAATTGAATTTTTAGTCCCAAAATCAGTTTAGAGTTTTTTGTTAGTTTAGGCCTTCATATGGGCCTTTCTTATAAAACTAATTTTAATGGGTTAATATTGACTTGGACTATATTTATAGACTTTTTAAATTTTGAGGCCCTCTTTATTGACGGGCCTAAAGCCACCGCTTATTTTCCTCCACTATTGGGCCGGCCTTGAGAGAGAGAGAGAAAGATAGACCGGGGCAGAGCCACCTTGGGACTAGGGTGGGCACTTTTGCCCCCTCACTTTTGGATCACTTTTGATTAGGCCCCATAATGTTAGTCAAAGTACTACATTCCCCTTAAATTTTTGAAAAGTTTTATTAAAGTACTAGTTTTTTTCCCCCTATAAATTAGTGGTCTATTACCCCCTAAAACAATTTTTTTTTTCTTTTGGAGTGTAAATTAAATGTAAATGTTGTGATCTGTTTATATATATTGAAAAAAAAGACAATAATTCTCTTCTATTTAATACAATGCTACCTATGTTTTATTTTATTTTTTGGTACAAGCTTCCTATGTTTTAGAAACAATTGTATATATGTTGTTTGCTATTCTTTGGTTGGTTTGTAATCTATAGTCAATACAACAAGATTGAATGAAAAAAGTTACATGTTATAACCAAAAAACATTTTATGCTATTTTAAATGTGAAATTTCTCAATAAACTTGAGAATAATCTCAATTATGTTTCACAATTATTAAAAAATAATTTTACTACGGGACTCTATGACTGTGCGCATCGATAGAAAATTAGTGAGAATTCTAACACTTACAATTAACAAAATATAAAAAATATTAGGGATTTTATAGAACATTGTGTTTCACTGTAATATATAATTAAAATATACTAAAAAAAAATTATTTTGTGCTTTTTTGTTCAGACTTTGTTTAAGAAAAAAAATTAATTTTACTATTTTAGTAATTTTGTCTCAAACTTTAGTCTATTTTGTCATTTTTGTACTCAATTTTTTTCCAATATCAACTAGTGAATTATTTTCGCTATATACCCCCCTTTTTTATTCAGATTCCTAGCTCCGCCCCAGGAGATAGAGAGAGTTACCCATCCCAGGCACTTTGAACTCATTGACAATTCTGATATCCTTATGTGTGTACCCAACAAAGTTAATATCCTTGGAACTTGTTAGAAAACATTTGCCGGATGTGGGAAAGAAATGAGAGACAATAAAAAAAGGTATAAGAAAAGAGTAAGAAGAGAAAAAATAGAAGGCAAATACTTTAACTCATAGCATTCAAGACATTATAAGGCCATTGACCAGTACAAGGTAAAAATCAATAATATGAATAACACTCCATACATCAAGAATAGACATCAAAAGGGGGTACCATTCCAGAAAGCACTCGCCGAGTTGCTGAACATATTCTAGAAGCCAGACATTAAATAATTGGAATGTTCATCATCTCCAAGTCCAGTGGAAGACGACTCTAGACACTTAATTACCCTCAGAGAGAAATGCATCCTATGCCTCATGTCTAGTAAGCCTTGCACAGAGCATTACACTTCCAACTACTACTTGTAAAAGTATCTATCAATATAAAATGTGTCTTTGACCAATCAACTCAATGGATAATACAAGCTCATTGAAATTTTGTAAAAAATCCTTGTTTGAACCCCTATAAACTCCATCAAAAGATCCACTTTTTAAACGCATAAAACTAAAGATTTGAATGATCCCATTTACTACTGTTGGCTCCTATTCCCCAAATCTTATAAGAAAAAAATTGTAGGACGAAACAAATTTTCAAGTTTATTAACTTTCAACATCAATCATACTTGCAGCCATAGTTATCAAATCGTGTATCGGAAGGCGTATCGTAAGATACAAATATTGTATCGTATCGTGTATCGTATCGTGTATCGTAAGATACGATGCAATTTTAAATAAATAATAAAAAAATATATATACCTTTGAAAAAAAGTCATACACTCATAAAAAATATAGCATTTTATTAATACTCCACCAACTATTCAAGTTATCAACATAATCCACTACTATTATAATGCAAAGTTCACAACCATTGTTCACTAATTCAAACTTTAAACACCAAAGAGACTTCTAATCCAAATTTCTAACATCCATTTTGAACTCAATCTTCAATTTCAATTGAAAATGCATCATCATCATCATCATCATTGTGATCGGATGCCAACAAGTCTTCACTTGTCGTTTTTTTTAAAAAAAAATTAGAGCACAAAACGACGTCGTTTTTTTAAAAAAAAAAAAAAAATTGCACGTATCGTGCGTTTCGTACCGATACGTATCGTATCGTAAAAACGTATCGTGTATCGGACGATACAACGCAAAAACGATACATAACTACGATCCGTATCGTTTTAGGGCTGTATCGTAACGTATCGTACGATACGTATCGCGTATCGTACGATACTAACAACTTTGCTTGCAGCAGCCATTTTAATATTCAATCTATAGTATCGTCTCGTAATAGAAAAAAAGCTTCTTGTTAACTCTTTGGCAGAAGTAAGAAAGTCGATCCACTACAAATGCCTAAAATTTAGTATCCCGTACAATTGAAATGCAACAGAAATACTAACACTCAAAACTACTGTTCATGAAATTTGAAGTAGCACCCAAGACTTGGAAAATTTCCTAGTGATAAGTCATGAAGTTGTGCAAGTGAGCTTACTCGACCAGCTCTTGATGAAGTCTCAGAATGATTTTCCGAATGTGGGACAGTAACAAGGGAAAGACATGAAAAGTTGGAAAAAAAACAAGAAACACAAATACCTCCTCAAACTTTTCAAAGTTTTGAGTCCAACTCATCATTAACCTCAGGAATGAATGCAGCTTCCATTTGATATGTTTTGTTGTGATCAATACATGGATAAGCCTGACACATAAAAGCAAGTAGGTAATTCACTTCATTTGCAACTCAAGGAGCAGATCCAAGAACATAGAATAGGACACACCATGCAATGCCTTTATTTCATCTTCACCTTTTGAACTGAGCCTCTAATTGACCTTACAAAGCAGTTTTACTGACAAGATCTTGTGCTTATAAAGATAGCTTTGCTTCTCCAAGGAACTTTAAATGTCCTCCAGTTTAGTATCTGCATTGTGCTAAGAAAGCTTAGGTTTTGGGATTAGAGGATCAAAGTATAGATTCACCAGCCTTTTTTGCAAAATTAAAAATTCAAATCATAAAAAAAGGATGGAAAATCAGATCAAGTGCAGAATGAGAAATACAGGGCAATTTGTAAAGCACCTTAACATCAGCACAGAATATTTTCATTAGTAACTCACTGGAAATATAGAAATTAGAAATTATAAAGATACAGAGAATAGAAAGATCTGACTAAGGGCTGCTTGTGGATTGAATCCCTCATGTTAAACTTATGGTGGGCTACATATTTCTTAATCACTGTGGATCCCGCTACTGCAGGTGCATGAAAGGTTAGCTATATATAGACTTACCTAGCATGTGGAGAGGTTGTTTTTGTGTCTTAAGCCTATGATGCCTAGGTCACAATGGAGCATGTTTATCACTGTGACTGGGCTCATGCTCTGAAAAAGGAAAAATCCAAGTAAAAATTATCACCCAGGGTATTCAAAATGTGTACTCAGGTATCATTATAAAATACAGTTTTGTCACACTTGTTTCAGGTTCATTGGCATTGAACAAACAAGATTCACAATTCATAGATTACTTATGCAATTTTTTGCTTCGGGCGTACCAAAACCATTATGGTTTTGGTCCTGCCAATGCAAAGTACCTTAGGTGACGGCTGCCCTAAAACTCAAACACACATCTGAGCATCTTACCAGTGCACCACATGATGTCAAAGGTTTTATTATATATTAGAGATATTTTTAGGGAAAGGGAACCCACAATGACACTTTATTTAATGTGCTAAACAGTGAATATAAAAACGTAGCCACTCAAACATAGAAAATATAAAAATGAGAATACGACAGTCTATTCCTCCCCATTCCCCCCTCCTTGAATTAGCATAAGAAAATAAGAAGATAAAGAAATACATGTTGACTGAGAGCATTCCGTATGTTTACCTTTCTACATGTGGACATAGGATCATCAGAATAGAAAGGTGTATACCCCACAAGCATACATGATAGCACGTGACCACCTGCAGAACAATACTTTTTGGAAATATATGAAAACTAGTCATCTCATATCAATGCCAATAACATCTCTCAAGCACAAAAAGTCATACCAAATAAATGGAGCAACCACAACCCTAAAAAATACTCTGTTGTTTGACAAAGCCTGAAAAGAAACCAGGTGGACACATGCAATTGAATAAGTTCCCTAAGATGTGAGCAAATAGCTGTGATAAACAGTCAGTTGCATCTATGTTCGTTAATTGGAATTAGTTAAATCATTGATAAACATTTTCACTATCAATTCTTAACTAGCTACCAAAACCAAGAAGAAATAGAAGAGAAAACAATAAATAAGACCAACACAAGGATTTACTAACTGTTGGACAGGTCAATGCAAAATTGTAAATTAATACATTAAAACAACTGAATACTAAAACACAAGAGCAAAACAAGCATCATCTAATACAGTGAAGATGAAGATGTTTACCTCACCAAATGCACCTTTTCCTTCCATGGTCAGTAACTCAAATTAATCAACACCTATTTTGCGCCTTTGAAACGCACATGTTCATGTTGAGCTTCCTTCTTCACTAACAATTCTAACACGTTTTTTTGATCTTCCTCTGAAACATCAACATCAGCCAACTTCTTCTCCTTTAAATTTCGTCTATTTGAAAAAAAACAAAAGGCAAAATCACATATTTCTTCATTGTGAAAGAATTACAGTCCAACTCTACCATCCTACCAACAAAATTCTGCTAGATGATCCCATACACACATGGCATGCCGCTCTTTCCTCTCACGTAAGTTCTTCATTTGCTCTTTGTAATGGTTCTGCATATACTCTGCCACGGCCTTCTGCTTCGCAATTTTATAGGATTCTTCATCCGACAGTGGTTTTGGCTCTTCTCTTCGAGAAGCCAAGGGTTCCTGCTTATTAGTTGATGAACTCAAATGATCTCGTGGTTGAAGCCTTTGAAACCAACACCTTGTTGAATGCATTCCTTTCCCTTAAGATAAAGAGGCCATATATACAAACTCAACTAACAAGCATTTCATTCCAAAACTGATATTGTTCAGCCACAAAAACAAATAACGGACTAAATGCATGCATCCTGCATTGATAAGGTGAAACATCACAGAGAGCATTCAATATATCAAATGTACACATGTCTACATGTATGTTTATTGTGTACGTTTATATTGAGAGAGAACCACAAACAGACAAACAAACATTTATATAACTTAACACATTCCAAAAGCCAAATCCGTTATAAATTTCTTTATTTCCTAAACAATTAAAAGTCCTACCGTCTCAATATCAAGTTTTCCCATAAAGGCCAAAACAAAGATATCTACCTTTAAAAAGCATAGAATAAATAAGCAGAAACAGTGACGTAGAAGCCCGAACCCATAGAAGGGCCCACCAAAAGGCTACCTCTATAATCAAGATTTCAGAATGCATGATTCTAAAAGAAAAATAACCTAAAAATAAAAACCAAAAAAAAGGGAAGGAAAGAAAGATTGATATGTTATGTTAAAACAATAACACCTTGTGTTTTGATGCAGGTCAAGAAGCTTAAAGGGATCAAGATTCGTATTGTTCAAATCCATATGCAGCCCTTTAAGATTCAAATTATTTAAACCCATATGCAGCCCTTTAAGATTCGAATTATTTAAACCCATATGCATCTCATTCAAGAATATGCAAAGCCCAAGACTGAAAACCTTATCAGAAGATATCTGCTAAAAAAACAAATCAACAGGCACATGGATGGGATTGGATTAACTCCAAATTGTTGCGTCCTTGCAAAGAAAATCAAACAAAAGGAAAGAAAGAAATATTGCTATGTGATGGCCAAGTGATAATCACCATACCTTGATAGAGATTTAAAAAACCTGAAGGGATCAAGATTTGTATTGTTCAAATCAAACCCATATGCATCCCATTTAAGAATATGCAAAGCCCAAAGGCTAAAAACCTTAGAATCATAAGATTATCAGAAAAATACAAACCAACCTGCAGAAAGATTGGATTACTTCCAAATTGTTGGTTCCCCAAAAAGGAAAAAAATTACAAAAAAAAAACAAGGAAATATAGATTGCTATGTGATGGCCAAATGATAATCCCCATACCTTGATACAGATCAAAAAGCTTGAAGGGATCACTATCAGTTTGTATTGTTCAAACTCATAAGCATCTCATTCAACAATATGCAAATCCATAGACTAAAAACCATAGAACCAAAGGATATCTTCAAAAACACAACCCAACATGCAGAGATATCGAATTACCGCCAAATTGTCGGTTTCCAAAAAAGATAATAAAAATCAAGAAAATAAAGATTGCTATGTGATTATCAAACGATAGTACCTCACACTTTGATAGAGATCAAAAAGCTCAAACGGTTCAATATCCGCATTAATCAAACCTACACGCATCATTCAAGAATGTGAAAAGCCCAAGCCTGAAAACCTCAGAATCAGAAGAAGTCTGCCAAAAAAAAAAACAAATCATCAGGCAGCGAGATCGGATCGCTATGTGATGATCAAACGATAATACCTCATATTTTGATAGAGATCAAGATCTCCATATTGTTCAAACTCATACGCATCTCCTTTGAGAATATGCAAAACCCAAGACTGAAACCCTACAAAGATTGGTGTATGCATTAGTTGATCTGTAATCCATACAGAAATACTTTGCAATGCTACGTTACTTATATAATAGGGATGATCGAACAATTAGGGCGCCAATTTCGTTGATTGTCGATGCTTGGAAAAACCAATGTCCAACGGTAACTTTCTAGTACCCCTCAAGTTCTATATAAGTTCCCTTATGTTCGCCTTATTTGTATACTAACGGATCACAACTCAACTTGTAACATGGGAAAATTTCCATTTTGCCCTAAAAAATACAAAATTTTTTAATTTACTCACATTACCTTGTTAAAAAAATAAAAATATTATAATATAATCCACCGTCTTATTTTTGTTTGATCGTTAATCACCCCTACTTCCCACCTCCCCATCACCGACACCCCAATTTCATCCTAAGCATCTCAAATCCTTACCTATCCTTTTTAAAATTTAAATTTAAATTTAAATAAAAAGTTTTAAAAAATCTTTTTCAATTTTATACTCAAACTCATATCAAATCAAGATAGACTCAATTTAGCTGATAAATTTCACCCTCCGCTAAAGAATTAATGGTTAAATTTATCCTCTTTTAAATTTGAGTTTATCCTCATTCAAAGTTATGGTTATCTTTCTTTAAATTTTAGTTTCTCCACTTAAGAGGTCTATACTAAATAAAATTTTGTCAATTTTTAGATTCAAAAAAAAAAAAAAAAAAAGGCAAGACTAATACTATCTCCAATAGAACTCAAATTCTTACGCAAATTTAAGTAAAAAAAATAGCAAAAATTTTGATTTGGTACAGATCTTTCCAATTGATAAGCTAAAATTTAAATAAAGACAATCCTAAATTTAAATAAGAACAAATTCAAATTTAAAAAAGATAAATCTGACTATTGAATTTTGAAAAGATGGTGAAATTTCACTATTAAATTTTTTTGTAGAGATTTGAGTAAAAAAAATGATTCCTTCATTTGATATGGGTGTAGGTCTAGCACCGGAGAAGATTTTTAGAAATTTTTTACCCAAATTTAAATTTAAAAATAGAGATGCTCTAATAATGTAAAAAAAAAAAAATATATATATATATATATATATATATTTATGACATGTTAAATTAATATTTTATAAAAATTAAAATGTACAGTAGTTAATAAAGATGATAAATGATTCAAATATTTACATAGATTACTTGTTACAATTCAACTGGAGGATACCATATGATTTGGGGTGAGAAAACTTTTCAACTGTTGTCTCCTAAATTGATTCTTTTAGTACCATAGTGTAGGTTAGTCATGGTAATTTGCTATCTCTCTCCACGATTACCTTATCCCTAACTCTTCATAAGTCTAATATTATTGGATAATTACTTATTAATGTGTTAAAAAATAGTAGTTTGTGAAATTTGGAATAATTAGTAAAAATAATTAAAAATTTAAAATAAAAAAGTGATGAGAATAGTGACATAAAATACGTGGGATAATATAATTGGAAGAAATTAATTAAATATTTTAAAATTATAATAATTAAATATTTAAAAAAAGAAGTATACTTGATTGTTTCAAATATAGAATGATACCACAATTATGAGAAATTAAATAAAAAATTATAAAGAATTAGAATGATAGAACAATTATGAGAAGTTTGGAAGATAGAACTACGGCTTTAAAAAATTTATTCTAGTGTCTGAATTTTCTATTATTCAATTGAAATAATAGAAAAATATAGAACAATTTGGGGAGAACATAAATTACACAGACACCCTTAATTTTCATTATTAATATAAAGTTTTGTAATTTTTTTACACAACATCATATATAATTTGTTGAGTACTCATCATAAGACCTCGACATCCAAATAATTTATGTGAATTTTTTTTGACACCAAATAGTTTATTGAGTTCATCATAAGACCCCTAACGTTTGTCCATCGTAGTACCAAAGACAAATAGACTTTGTCAAATTTATAATTAATGCAAAAATCATAGAAGTACCAAAATAACTAGGAGATTGATGCAATGAAGTGGGTAGAAATAAAAAGAGTATAATGAAAGAAAGGGGGATAAAAAGATCAAACCGTTAATTTGTGTATAAATACCAGTTTAAAATTTTATTTTAGACTTTTTAATTCACGAAAAATACCAGTTCTAAAAATTTCAATAAATCTGTTGATTCTTACAAATCTATAATATAAAATAGGACGATTTCAACGTCCAAATCCAACAACTTAAAATTCATTCATTTAACTGCCGTTACTGTTTCTTTCATTCTCCCCAAATTTATTTCTTTTCACTTATATTATTTTTCAAAACTCTACCCAGTCCCTTCACCTGTCAGAGAAACCATCTTTTGCCGCCTTCCTGCATTTTTTTTTTTTTCTGACTTTTTTCAAAAATCTACCCACTCAGTCTCTTCACCTGTTAGACAAGCCATCTTCTGCCGCTTCCTGCATCTTTTTTTTTTTATTATTTTTCCTGTCAGACAAGCCTTTTCCTGCATCTCTTTTCTTTCTTTTTTTTTTCCACCCTTTGTTACTCCTTACCCCCTCTCTCTCTCTCTCTCTCTCTTACGCTCCAGCCACACCACCGCCACTTTCTCAGCAACACCACCGCCACTGCTAACCCCTCCCAAGTATGCATTGTCTCTCTCTCTTTCTCACACACACACACAAGCACACACTAACCCCCATCCTAACCCCATATCTTCTCTGCCCTCTTCTACTCAACATCACCCAACACTTCTCTCGCTCACACACAATCACATTGCACACGCACACCCACAGCGCACAATACACACATACATACTCACCACCCACACACAAATCGCACACACACAAACAAACCCAGCACACACACCCAACACAGACCCAGTATACACGCACCCACATCACACACACTCACACTGCAGAAACAAACACCCACACCCACTCACCCACACACACATCACAAACAGACCCACCCACACCAAGTGTTTGTTGGAATGACCGAGACAAATTTTGTGTACTCTGCCATTGTTTTTATTATTATTATTATTATTATTAATTTCCTGTGTACCTATTTTTTTTGGGTATAATGTGTTGAATTTTAATTGATTAGTTCACTAAATTTTAATTGATTTACACTTTGTTTGATTTTTTCAATTTTATGTTGAATTAGCTTATATTCAATCTAACTAAATGCATTTTTGTCTCTTTTTTTCCAACATCTATTTTTTCCTGAATCCAACAGCTATTAGGGTTTGTGTAAGAATTATCTATTGGGTTGTGGTCAATTTTCTGTTATAAAGTGATTTTTGAAGTTTAGAAATGATTGCCTTTGTGCATCCTTGATATTGGTTGGGACCCCTGAGTTTTGTTTCCTTCTGAGGTCAAGGTCTTTCCTATACTGGATGCCTCTTTTCTCCTTTCTAGAAAATGCAAAAACTCAATTCGGTTTCTGTAGCTTTCTGCAATCAAAATGGTTATTGATGGGGACTAAATATTGATTTTGTTTTCCAACCTAAGAATTTTGTTTTGTATGACGCTATCTTTTAGCAGAAATGACCATTTTCGACTTCAGCTAGTTAAATTTCATGTTTCTTTTTCTTGATTTCTGAATATTAATGTGCAGATAGTTATCTAGGATTTGTATTTTTTGTCCCTAAATTCAATGGAACATCTTTACTTTTTGGTCAATCATTTTTGTTTCCAGCATTACTTTTCTTGCTTTAAGAATTGATGATAGTTGAAGCATAATTCATCTGCAAATTAGGTGCCCCTGCACCTCTCAACAATTAGTGTGTTTCTGCTCAATTTTCCTTTGGATCATCTTTTAACGATCAGCCTTTATATAATGACATAATGTGCAATTTTCTCATTCTTGGTAGTTGGAAATGTTTTTAGTAGTGACGCACTGCTAGCTCTTCATCTCAGACAGTCAAAGTACGATCCCCTTTGTTTTTGGCATTACCAAAGTACTTGAGAATGTTGAATTTATCTGCCAGGAAGAATTGACTTGAATTTCCTTAAACAATGATATAGTTCATTACTTACCAAAAAAAAATGATATAGTTCATATGCTACATATCCAATTTGTTGACTGTTAGGCCATTATAGCATCAAGCTATTGTTATTAGTGTATATGTTCTTTTGTTTTTTTGGTCATTGTGTATGTGTTGTTCAAGTGCTCATGTTTTGTTCATAAAATTTCATTGTCGATTTGCACTACAATCTTATTGTGGGTTTATTGGCTCATTGCTGTTACTTGGATTGAATAGATTTTTTTATTGGGAGGAGCATGTAGCATATTTCTTGACTTTCATTCACATAGAGTAACAAATACATAGAGTTGGATATTGAGGCAAGACAAAATTCACAAATTCACAATTAGACACAATTTCAAGTATGTGTGAGTGGATTGTTGGGTCGGTTGAATTAGTGGTACAGTGAGAGTCTAATCGACACAAATGAGTGTATATACAAGTTAAATGACCCATATCAAGTGTGCTTTCTTTATGGTTCTTCCAATCCTTTTATTGGTTTTTGTTGTACAATTTTGTTATTGTTTGTCTATCATTATTAATTTTTGGTGTGTTTTATGGTGGTAGTGAACGCAAATATCAGAGAGGAGATGAAATTGCTTGGTATGCGAATGGATAAAACATAACTTGGTGAATGCTTGATGTATTCGGTAAAGTCTATGGCTTTTGATTTAACACCTTAGTCCTATTCTGTTGTGATTTTGCTCAATATGAGATTGCCTAAATACAGTTAAGAGTTTAAAATTGAGGTGAATATGCCTTTAACTAATGTATTAGCATTCTGTTTGCAATTTACACTTATATTCTCTCACATGTCTCTTTCTCTCACACACACAACGCATTATTGGAATTAGTATGTGATCAGGATTATTGGAATTAGTTTGTGCTTGATTTTAGAGTAATTGGTGAACATAA